ATCTTTTGAATTATCCTTCTATTCCCAGTTACACAGATGATTCAAAATCAGATGACTCTAGGCTCTGCTATGGTTTGCTGTGACTCGGTAGTTGCTTGCAGGTAACCCCTTTACAGTTTCTGTGTTCACTGCTGAGTTGTATGCCATTTCTCTTGCCCTGATATATGTAGAAGCTATGCAGTACAGAGATTATAATATTTACACAGATTCTCTTAGCTCTCTACTGGCCCTGGAATCACTAAACATTAGTTTTCCCCCTGTTCTCGTCGATATTCAGCAACAACTATATCATTTTTCTCTATTATCTGTTTCCATCCAGTTTTTCTAGACACCTGGCGATGTTGGTATCTGCGGGAATGAGCTTGCTGATTGCATCTGCTCTGGTGCCATCACAGCCATGCCTATCCTGTATATGGACTACGGTCCTGTATTCAAGGCTCAGCTTTGCACCAGTTGGCAGTCGACTTGGGATGAGCAACGTTATGAGAAGCCTTTCCAGATCAAACCTTTTGTTGCTCTTTGGCCATTATTTTTTCATAATGATCGGAAGGAGTAAGTTGTCCTGACTAGGCTATGCGTTGGCCACGTTTTTTTAACTCATCGTTTTCTTTTATCTGGTACTGACCTACCAACGTGTAGCCTTTGTGACACTCAAGGCAAAATAGCTCACATTTTACTGTTGTGCCATTGTTACAACTGTGAGCAGTGGCACCATTTTCAACATATACTTTCTGCAGGCTTACCCCTGACTTTGGATGGTGTCATTGGTGATGGCGACACTGTCCAACTTGACCATTCTTTTAGCTTTTTGTGGATTTTAGGCCTTTTTAATTATATTTAAATTTTTATCTCAATTTTGACATTTTTTGTTTTAACTCTATTTTTACATTTTACAACAATTTTACTTTTATAGTTTTTATCAGTTGTTTGGCACAGGTTGCTTAGTTGCTTTGCACCACAAAATGCCAACCAATCTTACAGGGTTTTTCCTTCAAGATTTTTCAGCTTTGCTAATTTGGGGAGGGGTGGGGCCTCTTTATTCAGGGGTCTCATGTTTGATTCCCATTGCTATCACACCTGTTTGATATGTCTGTGTTTTGGCTAAGCTACTAATGCAACTTGTCATCATTAAAGATTTTAAACTGCCGACTATAGGGAAGGCTACTGTCTGTCAGCACCTGATGTCAACGTTTTTTTTTTTTTAATAAAGTAAGCTAAATGCTGTTGCACATAAGTTCAAAATGAAATTTTACTTATGGTTCATCCTTTCAATTGGTTATAAATGAGTTTTGAATATTTTGATGATTATCAAAAATGCTAATATTGGTATAGGTGTGGTATTCAAGTTCACTGATATTCAGTGGAAAACTCATAAAGTATCAACAAAATGCACGTTCAGTACTGTTAACTGTTTGGTAGTGTCAGAGTGCCCATTTCAGAACTTTTATTTAGAGGCACCTTGAAAAGTTTATTAATCAGCATGATTATCACTGTATCTCAATGAACTTTGCATAAAAACATAGTTTATAATTCAAAGTTTAATTTTATTTGAGTTTTAAATTTTAATTTCAAATGGAAATATTTAAAAATTCCTAATCTTGACTTCTGTGTGTTAAATGACAAATCTCCCATTTGGTTCTCTTATTTTAAATTTGCTCCATACCATTTTAAAGCTGTCAGAAGGCAATGAATCAGCAACTCAAACTGTAGATATTAACAGTCATAATATAAACCTACAATGTCATTGAATTAGTGAGAAATAAAAAATTTGTGACACCCACCATCGAGGCTCCTTCTATATTGTCATAGATATGAACAGTTTTCTCTATACCAAGCATCCTTCTTTGATAGACATGTGAATGACCATTGCAAACAGAATTTTGACTCATACAAAAATATTCTGTTGGTTATTTCATTTTTGAACATTTTTGAATGTCAGGCATTTAACATGGTATACTTTGTGACTAACTGCAGCTATAAAGCAATAAAACTAAATGAATCTAGATTTGGAAAGTGTTAGCTACTGCTGTAAGAATAAATAGTGTGCAGTTGTCTATTAAATTATGCAGTCATTGTAGAGAAGAAAAATAAAGAAAAGGGTAATGTATATTTATTTCATATTTTTCAGCTTTTCATTTTGTCTGACAATGGTGATTTTGCTACAGTTAGTGTTAGGGTAGATAAAATGTAATGCTTTACTGGAAATGACTAAATATTTATTTATAAGGTTTTAGAGGTTATGGAAATAAAATATGAAACTGTAAGATAAAAATATTTTTATTCTTAATATGGAAATCACCTTGTCATCAGGTAAGTCAGATTGACTCAGCGAATTTGCAGAAAATTTTTAGTAAGAGTTTTAGTGACTTACATTTAAAATCTATTAATCTGTTTTTTTAAAGTAATACCAATTAGTATAGCATAAAATCTTATCCAATAATCCATATTTTAATGGTATGAGTTTCAAGTTCTTAATTTTATACAGCAATAATTAAAAAAATCTTATTTCCCTAGTGTGACACATGACACATTTTCTCTATGCATCTTTGCTTCTTTATTTTATCCACCACCCCTCAGATAAGTATGAAATTTAATGTAAATTACTCACTATAAAATCATAGTTACTCAGACAAACCATACTTTTCATATCCTTCAATTTTGTTTGCTTACAGAGCCATCAAATACAAAAAGAGGCCCCCTCTTGCCACACCCACCTGTTGTATCCTCTCTTTCTGGAATTTTTTAATAGTTCTTTTTACATTTAATCCTATATTATTTATAACCAATAGGAATCCAAGGTTTTTCATTTATCAAATGACGTATTGTATAATGTTTTCTGAATGGACAATTGTCAATTACACTGTTAATACAAGCTTTGTTCCTACGGGAAGATAACGATTAGTATGGATGAATTTGTAACAGCTCTTCTCGCATAGTTAGAAAGCCAGAAAAAGTGTGAAAGTTAGTGTAAATTGTCTACTTTTGCATATTATTACTCTATGTTCTTTGTGCATTATTTAATTAAATAAATATTATTTAGTGCATTACTACCATTAGTATAAAAAAGTGGGGTTAAATGTCATCCACAATTGAAAGCAAGAAAAATGAAAATTTGGGTAAGTACTTTATTTCTTGATTTTCATGTTTATTCTTTATTTATAAGAGGAACTAAAATGTAAAAAATAGGGATATCTTTAGGTTAGTTAAGATTAGATTATGTAAATAATTAATAATAAAAATAATATGATAAAAATGTTTCATGAGGCATATATGCAAGCAGCTCATGGGTAATGTGAATCAATAGTGTAACATGACCTCCATGTTTCCTAAGTGATTTACAACTTATAATGATGCGAATAGTAGTTAGATATGGATGAATGGGCAATAAAACAATAAAATTTGATTATAAATAGATGAATACTGTTATGAATTTAAAGCTACTTAACATAAACAAATGTTGTTTCTTGTTACAATTTCAAGTCATTCTAGAAATTACAAAAGGGTAATTTAGATTTTTTAATGGTTACAAGGTCGGTCATACAGACCAGCATTGTACAGAGTTAGGGTAGAGAAAATAATAGACAAACATTTGAAATGTATTGAGGAGGTTTTAGAGAATATACAAATCAAATCTGAGATTTTTGAGATGAAGAAAAGTATTTTTAATCTTAACATGAATCTCACTTTGCGCACGTACTATTCAAAACAAATACTCGATATGTTCACGGACAAATCTTTAGTAAAAACACTTCATTAAAAAAAAACAACTGATTTTTTGTGAACAAAATACTTATAATGTGTGCTAAACATCTGCCTAATTTTGTGAAGATACACACACTGTAGTATAAGTCATAGTATTAAAACTATCCACAAGTAAAAATGGTGCCGTTATCAGTCCCTGGAACCAACCCCTTATTGAGAGAGTTAAACATTCAGATGTTTGTGTATACAACATACTAGAAATGTTCACTAAAAAGCCTATTGGTGTAAAGCACCAATGTTTATATAGGTTTAAGCAAAGGATAAAATGAACAATGATAATAAAAGAAAACAAATAAATTGAAATTTAGTTCTAAACAAAAACTCTTTATTGAACACAAATACAGTGCTTGTTATTAAACTGACTGGGTTTCATCAGCCTCTTTTTACTGTTGGGTATGAGTGCTACAAAATAAGAGGGGATGACCAGGTTGAATCAAGAGCTGGATGGAGAACCATGAAAGAACCTGACTTAAATACTCTCAAAACAAACGGTTAGATGTCTTGCTAGGTTCACGGGCAACATACTTCAACCAAAGGTCTACAAGTCATGTGTAAAGGTTCTTAATTGAATTTTTAATAGGGTACTTTCCAAGAATTGATACAGAAACACATGCTTGAGACTTAAGGAAGAAAGGTTGTAGTGTGTAACCTTTACATACACAAAAGAATTGGTGCAAGTTTATGACTAAGGCATTTGGTCAACAAGAATGTTGTAACTGTATGGAAATCTACAAAATTATTATTTGGATATACTTGAGTAAAAATGAATTCTATACTATTTAAGGAAGAGTGAAATTCATGACTGTTTCAGTCATTACATAGGTTCAGCCAAAACTATGTTGAATTCTTATAGTCTCTTATTCAATACTATTAAATCTAGAAGGTAAAACACAAACATAAATGCTTGTGGGTCAGTCTTGGTTTAACAAGACCTATAGTCATGATCAGAGAAATAAATTCAGTTCATTCAGTACTTGAGTTTAAGAATTGCATCACCACATTTGTGCCATACTATCAGCTTCTATTTTTAAGATATACTATTCCTTGAAATATAGTCTGTTACTTGATTTCTTTCATAAGTACCTTTTTTCCATATGAGATTACAACATTTTTCTCAGTTAATTCCCACAGGTTTTATTTTACGTAACATTTTTATGTTTAAAATCTGTTATCTTTCACATGTGCTATTATCATGTAAGAAAAATAATTTTTTTTGTTAATGTAATTTTCTTTTTTAGGGCAGATTTGAGAGATGGTGTTGGTGATAAAAAAGTTACTTTATTGACAACTGAGAGAGATACTAGCTCAGCCATAAGCTTAATGTCAGGACAATTGTCTGAAAAAGAATCTAACACTACTATAGGTGCAGATGATCTTTCTTTGGAGTATAATATTGTTCAGAGTACACTTTACAGTAGCCGAGAAAATGTGAATCTTGTCCATGAAATTTTCCGACAGGTAAGTTTATGTAGTATTTGATTGTGGTTTTTCTAGTTATGGTGCAACTTTTATTATCAGTAATGAGGTTAAATGGCAAAACAAGTAAAATTGAATATATTTTTTTAAATCTGTAAAAAATGTTGAAAGTGCTTTTGAACGTAATGCAATATTATAATTTTTTTACAAAGAGGTGAAAACTTACAAAAAGTGGATTTAAACCCATTTCTCTTGCCAAGCAGGCAAGTACTTTTCTATACTGATGAAATTGAAAAAAAAAAAAAACAAGCTTTGTTGAAAGAGATCAGAATAAATATTTACTTGAAGCAGAAAAAGCAATACGATTTTTAAAATTGCAGTCTGTAATAAAAAGCACCTGACCATCAATCATATAGAGGTTATATAATTTTTTCATTTGTGCTGTTGATAATTTTAACTGCTGTTAGGTTGCATTGTGTATTTAAGTTTTCTTGGATATTATGCCAATCAGTATAAGCAACTTGTTAAGCTTATGATGGTTAATTGTGTTTAACCAGCTTCTAGCCAAACTATTGGCTTTAAAATCAGGAAAATGTTTGTATATCTGTATTTAAGGTCCTGACATGCTTAAATATTAATCTGGATCTCATGCATGCACTTCTGCTGCTCATATTACTAACTGAGAACACACAGTGTTCCTTCACTTTTCCAAACAACTGAAGTGTTGTGTCAGGTCACACGACAGACCACTTGATATTTTTGTTTCATAAAAATGAACTCAGTGGTGCCATTGATGTTATCGAATAATTGTATTTATGCTTTGTCATAGTTCTGTTACATGCCATAGAAGTATTTAGCACTGGCCAAAACTCAGGCTCTTCTCCCTCTAATCATGGAGTTCTGTTACAACATTTTTATCAGTGTGCAGTTCAAGTAGTGTGGCACTTTTTCTAATTTCAAACCGCCAACCATAAGGAGGCATCTGGTTGACAGCAACTTACGGTTCTTTATTATATTTTTATATATGTTATTTATTTTTTACTTTGTTCCATTATTTGATATTATTATTATGTATCATATTTTTACACAAAGTACCCAATGTAAATAAAGATATGATTGCACATTTAACTCTCTCAATGCAGTATCTTCACAAAATTTGGCAGACTTTTAGTAAATATTACATGTCATTTGTACACAAAAAATAAGTTTTTTTAATGAAGTATTTTTACTAAAGATTTGTCTGTGAATATATCTAATATTTTTTCTTGACTGGTCTGAGTGCAAAGTGAATTATAAATTGAATTAAAGATACTTTTCTTTATCTCATAAATCTCAGATATCATTTACATAACCTCTAAAACCTCATAAGTAAATAGAAAACTTTTTTTTGGTAAATTTTTTTAATTTGTTATTATCAATACCCTAACAATATATTTGATTCTTCAGCCAGTAGACAAATCATCAAAATATAAGAAAAAGTTTTAAAATTAGAAACAAAATGAACAGCTGTGCCCTTTTTCTTTATGATTTATCACAGTTTCAACTGCTAACCATTTCATATTTGTTTTTTGTTTATTTTACTGTCAATGACTGAAATAGAACTCTGCTGAAAATTAAGCAACAAATCACCACTTGTATTTACATGACACCATAATATGATACTCTCGAGAGCAACAAAATACGTACAAAGAAATAAGCGAACTTGAACCCTGCCTCGAGGACACAATGTGGAATCTATCAGCTTATGTATTCTACAGTGTTTACAACAAGAATTCCCCACAGTAATAAGATTGCACTTTGAATCTGTGCTTGATTTCAAACTTTTTCTTCTTCTTTTAGTGCATTCTGAAAATATTCCATTGTTTGTCTATCTGGCATGGATTCTCCCATTCTCTTCTTCAGTTATCTGATTTTTTACATAGTTATTTGTCAAGGCTCTGTCGTTTTCAACCATTGCAGGCTAGAGGGTGGCCCTGTCATCTACCTTTCATTTTTTGCCGTGTGGTTTCCTCTCCAATTACTTTCCGTCTTTCCATATCTACCCCCCCACTCTGATCCGAATCAACTCCTATGTTCAGTCTGTGCTTTACAATGTTATTTGTGCACACAACAGCCTTCCATGACTCTTGCTCTTGTTTGCTTATCCATTGGAATTGGCCCATTTCTCATGATATTTCTCCTATCACCTGTACCAGTTATCCGTATTGTGTATTCCTCATTTTCTCCTGAATCTTGCCAATTGTTCTATGTATAGTCCCATCAGATCCATCACCTCACAATGTCTTTGGCTGCTCATTTCCATTGTCATTTGGAGGAGATCATCCAGGCTGGCATGTGGACCACTCTCCTCACTTTTAAGTCTCACTACTTGCACCATCTGGTGGTTTCCTGCTCAGCCATATATCATCTTCTCCCTAAAGCTGTTCTCCATGTGTTGGTACAACTCTTGAGTGGTTAATTTATTTCATTTCTCCATATTTTTTTCAAAGGCCTACTTTACATGTTATGGATCCTGCTCTGTGGGGAGTGGTGCTTGTCCAAGTACTCTGATATCGAAAATTCATACTGTGAGATCTGTACGGTCTGTCATGCTCACTGTTGAGATGGGGTGTTGCATAGACTGCTCTCGTGTTCTTCCTTGTGGCATATTGTATTATAAATATGTTCGTACTGGCCCGTACACTCGTGGACTAACATAAATAAAGCAAAAAGAGATTGATGCCCATATCTAACATTCCTTAGAGTTCCAAATTGAGAATGGTCTTTTTATCAAAATGAGGTTTTGTGCTCACCCATTGCACTTTCTCTGGTAATGCATTCCTCCAGACTCTCCAATGTGTTTCTACCCCCACTTCTTCCAGTGGAATATAGGACTCTTTACCACTTACCAGCTCCTAGCCACAGGTGTGGTGATCCAGGAGGAATCCTCCTGAGTGTGCACAATTCTACTTGGTTGAAAGTAGGGTGGTGGTGTTCTTCCTGTGTAAAAGGCATGACTATCCTCCTGCTATAAGTGTGATATTTTATTACTGATGCTGCTGATCTGGACTGGATTTTTCCATGTATTTTGCAGTTCACATCCCAGCTGGGAACCCTCCCTCCTACTGCTGCCTGGATGTCAGTTCCAAGGTGACTAGTTTTGGTTTGAGTAGGATCAGCCAACATAAGTCCCCACATGTGAGTGGGCTGGGAACTTCCCCTTACTGTGGAATGGATGTTACATCCCCAATGCCAATTATTTTGGACTAGAATTGTCCTTCCACATTGCATTTCCACCTTCATGGCATCATTTAGATATACATACCCGGGGTTTATTGCTGCATATCTTGCTGGATTTGCACACATGATGGTTTAGGTTCTTGGAACGGAGGCTCTTCTTCCCTTTTGGTTCCTAGACCTGATGTGAATAGTTGAGGACCATCCTGGTTCTACTGGTCTTGACTGTAGTCGACCACCTGTTTATCACTTGACACATTCTAACCACTCTACACACATACCTGTGAGTTGGTTAAGTAAACATCTTATTTTCTAGACGTACATCTACACAACTAGCATTATATTACTGAAGATGCAGATTTTTCATAGCTTGTGGGTCACATAACAATACATCTGAAGTTTTAAGTAGTTTTTTAAAGGTTTATTTTGAAATAAAGGACTTAAAACTTTGAATCATATTATACTTTATAATATTCATTTTAATCATATACATTTATAGTAAATGTGTTTAAATTTTGAATGTAACAAATGTGACTTGTGCAGAAAAGCGTTTAAAGGGGCAGCCGTTGAGAAAGGGTTAACATATATTTTCTGTTGAATGAAAGTAAAAGGTAATCTTACTGAACTCTACAAGATTATCTTGGCAATTGATAGACTAAAAGCCTCTTTGTGCAATATATTGAAAGTAATAGGATGCCAGAATTCAACTGTAAAATTTCCATCTGTTTGAAACATATTCTCATATCCCAAAAATTACCAACAAAATATGCTTCAACTCTTTACACCCATGAAAAATGGGCCCAAGAAAGGTCCTGCATTAACTCTTTCAACATGGGCTTGGTCAATTTGACTGACCATGTGCCCTCTTTGTACTAGATTAAAGTCTTTATGGATTCAATACTTCTAACTTTCAATATAGTGTGTATATCTTCACAAAATTTGGTAGTCTTTCGGTTCATATTAAAAGTCTTTCACATACAAAAAATCATATTTCTCAGTGAAGTATTTTTAATAACATAAAATAAAGATTTGTCCATGAATATATTGAGTATTTGTTTTGAATAGTCTGTGTGAAAAGTAATTTTCATGTTAAAACTAAAAATGCTTTTCCTCATCTCAAAAATCTCAAATTTCCTTTGTGTAATCCCTAAAACCTCCTAAATGCATTTCGAACGTTTTTTTTTTCAGTCAAACTTTATAGTTTATCTGTTATTTTCTCTACCCTATCTCAAAATGGGATTAGTCAATTAGACCGACCTCGTAACCATAAAAAAAAAAAAAAAAATAGTAAATAAATCTAAATTACCTTTTTTTTTTCTTTCTAGGATGGCTTCAAACTGTAACGTGAAACTACATTCGTTTATCCTAAGCAGTTCTAAGTTCGTAACAGTATATATCTACTTATAATTAAATTTTATTGCTCTTTGAACCATGTCTAACTACTATTCGTGCCATTATAAGTTGTCAATCACTCGGTAAATGTGCAGTTCACATTATGCTATTGAATTACATTACCTACGAGCTGCTCGCATGCATTTTAATTATATTCTTATTATTATTACTTATTTTACCTAATCTAGTCTTAAATAACTTAAAAAAAGATCTGTATTTTTAGATTTTAGTTACTTTTATAATTATACATAAAAAATAAACATGAAAAATAATAAATAAAATACATAACCAATCTTCTTTTTTCGTGAAGTCAGGGTTTGAAGAGAGTTAAACCTAATTTTTTATACTGTAGATAGTAATGCAATTTATAATTTGTACTTAATTAAATATTGCACCAAAGAATATAGACTAATAACATGAAAAAAGTAGACATATTCTCCTAACTCTCAAAATGTTTCCGGCTTTCTAACTATGTGACAAGAGCGATTACAAATTTATCAAAGCTAGTCGTTAACTTTCCCTCAGGAACGAATCTTTTGCTGTGAATGAAATTGACTTCTAACTGTTCAGAATATAATGTTATACAATACGTCATTTGATAGATGAAATCTTGACTTTCTATTGGCTGTAGGTAATATATAATGAAACGTAAAAGAGAACTATCAAAGAATTGTAAAAGAGAGGATGTGACTGGTGGGTGTGGCAGGAAGATTCTGATTTTCTATTCAATAGCTCTGTAACCAAATAGCTCTGTTTGAGCAATAATGATTTTATAGAGTATTTTACATTTTTTACTTTTTCAAAGGGTGGTGGGTAAAATAGTGATGATGACATGTTAAGAGAAAATGTGTCACGTGGGTCACACTAGTGGAAATTAAGGATTTTTTGAAATATTGCCTTGTAGAATTAAGAACTTAAAACTTGTAAATTATCAAAATATGGATTATTAGCTAAGATTTTATACTATTATAATTGGTATAACATTAACAAAAAGTGTTTAATGAAATTTTGAATGTAAGACACAAAGGCTTGTGTCATGTGTAGTAAAGGATACTCAGGGCAATAGGGTTAAAGAGTATATCTGAAAGTAATTTTATTTTGAAATCAAATATTCCAGGCCCGAACATCACCATTAGTACATTACCACCTGATATTTGCTACTGGATTATTTATAATAAACAGAAAGAGCAGATTGTTCTGTACTAGATTTGTTAGGAGGATAGCTCATTCTATCACTTCTACTGAGGTATTTGGCCTCAGTTTAATTTCTGCGATCATATTTTTTTCTGCTTGGAGCAGGCAAGTGAATTGTTTTAACCTATTTATTGCTTAGTTAGATAGCTAGTTAGATTATAATTTTAGGATATTCTGTTGTATTGCTTAATATATGTTTTGTGTTCGATAATATATATTTTAAAGCTTCAAGATCTTTTATTTAAACTAACTTAGTGAAAAAAAAGGTGAGGCCTAGTTCAATTATGGTTTGCACTCTCAAAGATTATGCAGGTCACATAATACACTCATGATGATTAAGACATGTCTACCTCCTGCTGAGTTTATTGTTTTGAATGGGAGAACTAGTCATCAAGTAGGTACTAAGTACAACAATAAAACCATAAATTCACAGAAAATAAACAGGAAAGGTTAACAGATTAAACTTTCAAGATAAGAACTACAAGAAGCAAGATAAATTATGTATTAAAAGAAGCAAAAGATATTAGTTTTATTTTATATTTTTCAGGTCTTCATTTCACTGTACATTGATTGTGATTGATACTTTTGTTACGATGTTAGGGTAGACAAAATTGTATATAACATATAGATTCTTTTTATTAAGAAAATACTTTTAATGTTCATTTGGGAGGTTTTAGAGGTTGTGTAAATGATATTAAACTGTAAGATAAAGTTTTTTCATCATGAAAACCACATTATTCATAGACTAGTTAATTTGAATTAGACTGACTCAGTAAATTCACAGATATATCTGGTAAAAATGCATCATTAAAAATTAAAATTTTTGTGTACAACAGACTTTTTACATTTACTAAAGTCTTGCCAAAGTTCTTGAATATACAATTAGTAAATTCAGAATTATAGTCAAAATTAATTCTGCAATGCAGCATTGGTCCACTGAGATCATTTATTGTACATAATCTGTCACTTAACACTGTTTATTGTTGGAATGAATAATATGGTAATATTAAGGTATTAGATTGAAGGCTGAAATACTCAGTTTCAAGTAAAATATTAAAATATTTGTGTGAAAAAAATATACCTGAGCCCACCTTGCAACTATAAAGATTCGTGACTGGTATATTTGATTGAGAATACTTGTATATTTTTCTCAGTATGCTGGAAATATTTTAGTGCCAAAGGGAACTGACAAAAAGTATTACATGTTGAACAGTAAAGTACTGACACAAGTCTCTGCATTTCCTTTAAATCTGTAAATTTTTGTGTTATTTTCAGACTAAAATTTAGAGTAAGAGAGACTATATTAAATTTTTGCTGTAAATTTCCATAGGTTAAAACTAACATTAGTAAGTTTGGAAAAATTCATAAAATAGATTATTAGATAAATATTTATTTACACTAATATCATAGTAAGAACAATGATAATTCTTGATTATCTCCTGATTGTTTTGAATAGTGTTTATGTTTGTGTACAAAGTATCCAGATATTGCTTACAAAATGCTCTTAGTTTTGCATGTAAGTTTGTGAATATAATTTTTCAGCTACCCTATATTTTAACATTGCAGGTAGAAAATAATTTGAGTTTTCTATTTCACTACTATGAAAACAACCTCATTCATTCATATATACATTAACAAATTTGGTGTAATATACTTTTTTTGACTTGCTGATATACAATTACAAGTTTGTGGTGTTCAACTGACAGTATTTACTGTTAATTTAGCTGCAACTTCTTTATTTTCATTCAAAATTTCTAGTATGCTGGTGATATAATGTAACTTGTTAAAGTATAGCTTAGATAGTCTTATTGTGTATATGTACACTTGTGAATACAAAAGTTCAAAATTACACTGTTTTCAATGTGGAGGTAATTCAAGGTGCTGAGGAATAGTTTTAGTGCTACATTAACATTACTCTTCCATAAAGAAATTCTGTAATGAAATAAAATGAGAATCATCAAATGTATATGCCAATCTTTTTGTTGTCCATATATGTACATAAGTGGATCAGAATTATTTTTCACAAATTTTACATTTGTTAAAAAAGAAAAAGATGACTGATTGTTTTATTGCTTAATTAGGTTATGATAAAATTAATGTTCATATTCTTCTACTTGTAGGCCTTTCATTTTCATTTCCATTTTGCTCCGGCAATGAGGAGAGTTGTTGCTGCTTATAAAGATTGGATTAATTCAGATGTAAGTCTTTTGGGATTCCATCAGAAAATGTAATTAATATGTTACATTTAATAAAATAGATAATCTATGAGTGACCATTTAACTTTGTATTTTTGAGTATTTCAATTGATATAATAAAAATTTGAAAGTATACAAGCTAACATGAACTTACTATTCATAAAAGACCAGCTGATTTTTGCAGTTATTACCAGTATCATCATAGAGAAGGCTTCTTAATGTATCTTACACGTTCAGTGCCATGTGCGTCACTGGTGGGTCACAAGTGACTTTTAGTTATAGAACACGTGACACTGGTGGGACACATAGTACAAGTGACTTCAATGAGCTCATTAAACATAGTATAATTACTCATATAAATATTAGATATCTGGGATGAGGAAAAAAGAAATGTGTGGTTGATACTAGGGTAGGACTTATTTATACTACTGTTAATATGGGTATTTATTGTGATATGGCATTTTCTCTATAAAGTATCCTATTAAATATTAGTATTGAATTTAAGCAAAATTTAGTAATAACAGTACATGTAAAAATGCACAATCCCAGTTATTATTTTAATATTATTAAAAAATTATGCATGGATGTATAATTAAAACTTCACTGAACAAAACCTTATGGGCATGTATATTTAAATTCATGTGATCACTAATTTTAACAAGATTAATCATGATAATGCTGACTTTTGTGCTCATAATTATTATTATAGAAACAATGTCTTCATGCTCTTGAAACATTTGACTTGTATATGTTTCTTGTGCTGGTTGTAAATATAAAATAATTTGAAGGAAATGGTTTTTGGTCTACTTTTCAAGAGAGTGCATATGTAATGATTGTAAATGTTTACATAAAATTTGAGCTTATTTCTCTGTACGATGAAACTAATAAGTATTACCTTCAAAATACTATTTCTCCCCCTAAATATGTACATGGTATGTTTTTTAAATATTTGTAAAATGTTTTAAATACTAAATTCAATTTTTATTACAAAAGCTTTCTTTTAAAGGGAAAAAAACATTGTTTAAGTTGTTATCATACATTCTGTTCCACATTTTTAAGTTATTGAAAACAGAAATAACAGTTAAGGAAACATTTTTAGAATAGAATTAAGAAAGGTAATCCATAAAAGCATGTTCTTCATGAAAATACATTAAAAAATTGAACATTGATAAAAATATGGAGCATCTTTAAAATTTTGATGTCATAACTTACATGATTTGTTAAGATGAGGTTATATCGGTGCGAGTTTCTAATCCTCAGATTGTCATAGAGCTAAAACCAAAACAGAGTAAGCTATATTTATTAGACTATTTATTCTTTGGTTTGTGTAGACATTTACAAATGCTACATCCTGTTATATTGTTATCAGCTGTCTTTGGTCTTTGTATATTAATGTAAAAAATTAATTTAAATTGCACTTATAACTCACTGTGATCTAAAAATTTCAATTGTTTTCTTGCTGACTGTAGCACGTAGCTTTTTTTTTTCTATCAAATGCCGTAGGTGTCAGAGCAGCCAGTATTTATGCAATGTCCTCCTGAACTAGAAGTCTGCACAAAAGAAGAAGCTCAGGGGCTTAAGAAAATGTGGTCAGGATCAAGTACCTCCTCACAAGGAAGTACTTATACAGAGGTGAGATATTTTAAAATTTTAGTAAAATTATTAGAGTATTGAATAACAGTGGTTTTTGTTTTTTAAGATTAACATGTTTGCAAGTATAAGGGTTATGTTAGGTAGCATATGGATTTACTGAAATTACATTATAGTATTAATGTCACCTAAATTATTTTTTATTTTATTTGATAATATATTGAATGATACTCAGTAGTTGATGATGCAGTGTATTTTAATCGTGAGTAATGTACTGCTAAGAAAAATATTTAATTAAAAAGAGTCACACTATTAAAGAAAGGTTTGTATGTGTTGTAATTGGCTTGTTTTCTGGGAATATAGAGAGTGAGTACATTATATTTACTCTTTTCAGCCCAGGTGTTCTGGGTATTACACATAGAAAACTGACAGCATCTAATTTTGTAAAATTATTTATGATCTATCCATATAAGTTTCCTCCAAAATAAAATTATTACTAAAATGTTGAAATTTTAAGTTTTCTTTAAATTTATTCTTTGTTAGCATTTGTTTTGGATGAATTAATTCAAAAAAATTGAATCTGTTAATTCTAATTGTCAGGTTTTGAACTTCTTGTGGAATTATTATGCAGATGGTGAAAATCCACCTGCACAACTAAAACTAAGGCATAAATCTAAAGTCTCTAAATTTATTGGAGAGGCTTGTTTTTAGTTCATCTAGTTTAAAAACAGTTAATTTTAGAAGTTGGTAATATCAAAAACTTTAAAATTCAACTCTCTGTATGTTTTATCATTTTCTTGTTTCTGAGGCTAAGCAAAAATTATAAATATATCATCTGAAACCTGGGATTATTATCTTTCTTGCCATCTGATGTAAGTGTATTAATTTTTTTGCATTGGAATTGGCATACTCTTCCCAAATTCCCCAAAGCTTCACACTATCCTTGAAATACCAAACAATGTTATTAATACATACCATTTCACTGTTATTTTATATTGTTGTAGTTGTCATGTAGCTTGCTGTCTGCATATTATAAACCATTTTAATATAATGTACTCAGCCATATGTGGCAAATTAAGATTTAAATTTTTTTAAATACTGTGTTTCTCTTAAGAACTTATCTCCATTCCAGACTGTAGATAGCTCTGTAACATCAGGGAGCAATGTAACTAGTATTGGAAGGCTTAGAAATGATTCATATCTACGTGCAGTTCGCTGTGATCAAATTGTCAAGGCTGGTCTACAGAATGTGCTTCAGGTTTTTATTACAAATGCTGCCAATGTTTTTCTCTTGGAGGTGACTGCCACTAAAGAAAATTACTTAGAGGAACAGGTAACTGAAACTTAGTTGATAAATGTTTCTGATGTTTATAAAAGTACTGATTGATGACTAACATTGTGTATACAACATGCAGTTTTCTGTTTTTGTATTTTAAAAGTCAGCTGAAAGAAATTTATTATAGTAACCTCTGTTAAAGTCATCAGGTGGGAGACCAGCCTTAACCTTTTCTACTGGGGTATAATTTTCTGTGCAAGTCATGAGGTTTTACAGAATTATGTTTATTAATGAAATTAGCATTATAATGTAGTTTATAATTTCAAAGTTTTATATTATCTAAGTTCTATTTCCTTTATATCAAAAGAAACTGTTAAAAAATACTTAAAGTTCATTTTTGATGTTACATGATGTGCAAGCATTCTTAGTTTGTAACTTTTAGTTTCAACAAGTTGAATGATACTAGATCTAGACTGTATATGTATTTCCGAGACAACAGCAAACTTCTACACACAGAAATGCCATTTTCCTTGTGCATCTGCTTATGAGATTTGCATGCCACTAGCCTTGAGGTAAATTCCACCTAAATGCACATGTTTAACATAAATTGCACTGGTGCATGATGACATCATTATGTGATAAAAGCCTTCCACCAATAAGAGGGTGACACAACCTACATTTGCAGTAACTCCCCTTATGCACTTGTACTCATGTTAATGTCATTCTTTTCCTTGGCACTGTATTGAACAGATGAGTTGAAATTTCATCTGGCTTCAATTTGATAAGATTTGCATTCATTAATGAAACTTTCTTTTTTATTATAGTTTGGATTCTTTCTTTACATCTTTACTTTATTATAATGAATTCTGAAGTGATGGTGACTTCTACTTTGTCCTATGTGAGTGTTGTTAATCTGCTTATATCCTGGACCCCTCTTCTTCCAGAGATCTGTCTCTTTCTATCCATACTGGATGGCTTTGTCCACTTCTGAAGTTGGTATGTGCTTCCCTGGATGTAGATGCTTGCAGGATCTTCCATATTCTTCACATCAAATTCAGCATCTAACTCATTCTCTTGCTGCCCATTTTTGCAGGATTTTAGAGGAGATCATTTAAGTGAGCATACGGTTGACTTCCCAGATATTTGTCTCTCATTATATGTACCATAATTTCATATAAACCAACTATTTCATCTCGTGTTGGATTTTAACTTCCACTAGTAGCCATTCTTCAATCAACCCACTGTCCTTGAGATAAATATGCACATTTTCTTTTGAAGCTCTCCTTTATATTTTTTGGGGTTCTGCCAAGTGTCTGGTGTTGCTTCCCAGGTATGCTTATTTTCCAAAATCCACAATGAGCCGAGATAACAGAAAGTGCTCAAACCATCCACCCTGGTTCAACTATTACCCACGAAGAGATGGGATGTTCTGCAAGACCACTTGAGGTATCCTCATGGTATACATACTTATTCAGTTGTGTGATCCAGACAGTATCAATTTCATGGACTATAATGGAAAAAGCCAGCACTTTTGCCCACTTCCTTGGCTTACACTTGCCACCTTTCAAAAAAAATGGTATTTCGTCAGCAATCTTTACACTGTTGTCTGCAGTAAAAGTCCTTTCAATCAGGTTTACTGATGGGGATTTGGGCAATACTCCGGATTTTCCCAGTGAGAATCCCCCCCCATCCTCCTTTGAGTACATCACAGGAGGCCCTTGCCACTTACCACTTCCTAACTGCTGGGGTGGTGGACAGTGAAGAATCCTCACCGGTTGGGCTTAACAGTATAGTGAGAACTGGGGTGGTAATGGCACTGTCAGTGTCAAAACAACATGGCAAATAACCAATGTGCCCTCCTGCTGCAGCCAAAAACTGCTCAGTATAGTTAAGGTGTGTTCATTTGGTACAGACTGATTGCACCCCATCCACACTAGGCTATTGGCTTGCCAACTGCTTGTGTGCAAGTGCTAAGATGGTCGTGTTCTCTCTCCACTCATACCTGCAGCACTTGGAGCTCATTTTACATACCGGGTGAAGAGTGTACTCTTGTTCAGACGAGCTGTGGTCTCCCATAGGTGTTCCCTTATGAAGGCCCTGTCATTGGGTGTTACACTCCATGGGCTTCCATCTGGGCACTTTATGAAGGGACCTCATCTAGATAATTTGTGCACCAGCCCATCTACAATTTCATTATGGGATTCTAGCATTTCTGTGTGAAGAGGTGTATTATCGTTTCGGAAGTTAACATTTTTCTAATCTGAAAAGGTATTTCTGATAGATATATACCTCCACAAACAATCTCACCCATCCTCCCCACTTCTGGTGCACATCCTTTTTTCTTGCATCATCAAAGATTTTTGTTTTCACAAGTGCAAGGGCATAGAGGGAGTTACTGAACATGGATTTTGTGTCACCTTCCCATTGATGGAGAACTTTTGTCACATGATGATGGCATCATGCACCAGCCAGTTCACATTAAACACATAAAATTAAGGTTAGACTTACCTAAGTTCAAGGCTAGTGGCATGCAAATCTCATAGGCAGATGTGCAAGGAAGACAGCATTTCTGTGGAAGAGGTATCTATCAGAAATATAAATGTCTAAACACAATTTACATTTATTATGTTATTTACATGTGCTGGTTTCAAAGTTCTTAAGTTCAAAATCCTGAACACAAGAAATACATTTTGCCACCCCATGGTAGAAGCCATGTCCACTTTCAATAAGTTAGACTTGTCATTTCTGAACCATTTGTAATTATTTATAACCAATAGAAAGAATTTTTTATTTTAAAGTACAAGCTCCTAATACTTATTTTGAAGTTGATGGGCAGTATTTGATATCATTTACTATTAACTTCTGATAGTAGTGAAACTGTTTTGTCCTCCATAGCATTTATCATTTTTTCTTGCCTAAATAGATATTAGTTAGACAGTTAAATTGCATTTAGGTTTTACTTTTACATTTTAGTGAATTTTGTTTTATTTATGTTTTAAAATTCATATTTGAAAGGTTTAATAATTTTATTTAATACAATCTAGACTTCGTCTTGGTTCCAAAGGGTTAACTTATTATGTAAATGCAAAAACATTTAGCCAGAGGCTTGTATGTCTCTTTCAATAATACCCTGTAACATGCTGGGGGTCTTCCCGTTGTGGTGTATCGAGATGAATAATAAATGGTGAAGGACAAGCAAGAGAAATATATCATTAAAAATAAAGTATATGTGAAAAAATTAAGAAATAAAAAATATGTATATACCTTTTAATTATTCATTGAATAATCTTAAAATTTTTTCTTTTGATTTCACTTTACAAATTTAATCAAAAGAAAATATTTTAAGATTGTTTGATGAATAATTAAAAGGTATGTACAGATTTTCATTTCTTAATTTTTCACATAAAGTTAACAATTCCATTGCACTTTATGTTGATGATAATGGCTGCAGTTAATGACAAAGTATGGAAAATGACAAATAAAATATTAAAATTGACATTAACAAAACCTGATGTTCACAGGAGATTCTAGAGGTTATACAAATGAAATTCTAAAAATATTAGAGGAAAATTATTTCTAATCTTTATTTGAAAACCACCTTGCACTTGGACTAGTCAGATGCAGTGAAACTAACTAATTTCAGAAACAAGTCTTTAGTAGAAATACTTAATTAAAAAATGCTTTTTGTACAAAATACTTGTAATCTTTAATAAAATCTTACCAATTTTCATGAAGATACTTTAATAAAACTCAGAGTTATGTGTAATTTCACATATACACTGTCAAAAAAGTGTTAACTGATCAGAAAAGGAATGGGTCACATTTAATTGATTAATAAACCATGCATGTATATAAAGGAATGCTATTTTGATACAGTACTGGTGTTGAGAATAATACAAGTAAAGAGCCAAGAAGAAAATAGTAATGAACATATAACAGAGAAAGCTATAGGTTTTAGGTTGTTTTTAATATTTTTAAAAAATTTTATAATTGTATAATTTGTATTAAACAATAATCATGATTACTAAAGATTTTCACTTTTAAACTCTTTGAAGTACTTTTTTGCTTGAAAAACAACCCAAAAAATCTTGTAACTGGTTTATCTACACTTTAATGTAGAATATCTTTAATGTTTTAAGAGGCAATAGCATAACAATTGTAATTTTCCTCAATTGCAGAAATATATGTAACTTTGAATTCCAAAACATACTTACGTTCTCTCACACTACAACTATTACTCGACTGCCAGGGTTTCCTTCCTTTGCCCATCTAAGCATTGGTCAGAATTTTTCACCCTCCAGTCTTTTATTCCCCACTTAATTGCCCTTGGCGATATCTGTGATGTGACATTTTTCACCTGTTTCAATGTGCCCTCTATCTTGGTACTGTATATAAGCAAGTCATTCAGATAATATTATCACTTTTTTTCGTCATAGCATTCACTAACGGGTTTCTCTGTACTACCATTGTTGGAGATACTTTAAGTGTTCTTTGTGTTATCTAGTTAATTTTCATAATGACTGTGAGTGACCTTATTCGTAGTGAGATAGCCATATATTTGCTTTGGTGGTGTTCCTTCAGATGCTCTGAGGCTGCAATCAAGGGTGATCTTAGATATTATGGAGAGAACTTAGGTTCATTTATTCTTGCACTTCCTTTATGTTGTTGGTTTCTCAGGAGGCCACTTTGTCTCAGGCTCCTTTTCTACAGTTAGTCCATTGAGTGTTTGATGTTTTAGGTCTTTCTCCAGTTGCTTTTTAGCCTGCATCTTCCTTGATGGCTGAAATGTCTGGGAGTGAATAGTTAGTGCTCCCTCCAGCCACTGATATTGTGGTGCATGGAGGGAGGTTTACTGCTAAGTTACATGAAAGTATGGTTATGTCTTGTCTGCCATGGTTGTTGGAAATACATGATTTAGCCTATGACCTCCAGCTGGAAGCATATTTCAACTATCAAAGAATACATCTGCTCGTGGAAAGTTAGGGCTCTAAAGTTAACCTGAATAGATCACAAATTTCTAGGATTCATCTCACCCTATATATATATGAGACAAGATG